TTTTCCATCTCGATTTTTAGTTCCTTTATTCTAATAATAACAATAATCATTCTAAGCGAACTATTTATATTTTTCTCTTTCCCTTTATTATATTGACAAGAATAGAAATTAGACACTAATACTTTTGTATGTGTGTGTGTGTTCATTCATATACAGTTATTAACATTAGTTCTATATTTCTCACTATTGATGATGATGCCAATAAGAATATACACACACACATGATAAAATACGATAATTTAATTGTGTCTACGATTATTACAACAATTTAATTGTACGTACCAAATCAATTTTTGTAATTTATCATTGTAAGAACATATTTATTAGAGTAGTAGAATGAGGATAATTGTATAAAGTGGTCTTTTTTAATGTATCTAATTTCTAACTTTTTTTTTTAAAATATTCGTCAGTTTTTTTCTAATTTGATGATGAGTTCAACGACCATAAATGCTTTATTTTTCTTCTTTTTTTAATCGAGAAACATGATAGCAGTATCTTTGTGAATTGTTTTATATTTCTAGTAAAAGACCTGCTGTTCGATAAAACTGTTTTAACGTTTATGAAAAAAATATGACAATATTGTAGTTGAGAGAAAAAAGAAAAGAAGTGAATAGAAATGCTGATGGATAGTATGCCGTAGATTGACTATTTAATTAAACTTTTTACTAGAAAATAAAGAGATATCCTTATAAATATTATTTAAAACTATGACGTATTGGCTAGACAATATTCTTGTCGGACGGATATTTACTATTATATATGTACAAAGTTGTATATGAATATTATTTATTGCCCTATTATGTTTGATAATTAGTTAATCTTTAATCAATCATTATAGAATGGAAAAAACCTATCCCACTTGAGATATAGTTTGTCCTGCTAAAAGTGTCACTTTGTTAATGAGGTGATTTGACAAGAGATTAATATGTAAATATGATCTAGAAAATATGTTGTTGTTATATAGAAAGGGATGGATATTATCAGCTGTAAATAAGAAAACCTAAAAGTAGTAAATGTACAAAAAATTGTATCATAAGAATAAATATGAATAAGATAAATATTATATGGATAAATTTATTCATAGTAAAAGTATAGATGTCATATAAAATAGAATTTTGAGACAAATAAGAAAATTGATAGTTATAATTATCATTTAGAATAAAAAATTAATATTTGAATGATATAACAAATATGAGGTAATGATGATGAAATTTTGTTTTTTATTAATATGTTTATTTAGAAGGAGAAGAAGAAGAAGAAGAAGACAAAGAAAAAAAACACCGAAAAAGATATTCCAAAATAGAAGAGTCTTTGTTGTTATAACTAAGACACTATACTTTTGTTAATGTCGACTAAATTGACTGTAAGAGAAAATTTGACATTAATGATAGTTTATGAAGTTGGCATAAAACTACGAAGATCTAATTCATGCTTCATAAAATAAGAAAGAGCGTAAATAACTCGGAAAAAGGTACTAGAAATCCGCCATCAGTATATGGAACTTCTTTTCTTTTTTTTGTTATAAAAAAAAATAGGAACTACTCACCTTATTACTTTTTTTTTTAATTTTATGCCTCAGTAAAACTATAAAGCATTAATTTAAACCATTTTTGTTGTAAGTTTTAGAAGAAAAAAAAAAAAAAGAAGAAAATGTCAAAGATCTCAATATTAAGTATTGTTCTATTATTTGTGGATGAGTATTCTTCACTCTTGTACAATGATACAAAAATTAAACTTTTTAAATTTTTGAATGACTACTGACTGATAACGGTCTATTTATTTATTTTAAAAATAATATAAAAATTTAATTGAGTAGATAATTATCTTCTTTTTTTTTCTTTTCTTTTTTTTTTTGTTTATAAAAGTTGATTATGTTTAGTTTTCAATTTTGTCTCTTTAATTATTCTTATACTATTTACTTTTCATATAGTACTTTGCTATTCTTTGATCGCCAATTATGTACAAATTGAGAGAATATCTACTCTATAAAATCAACTAGACACTATTAAGAAATATTAATAAATTGATTTTATGTATACTGTATGGAATAGGAAACAACAGAAGGACAACAAAATTTTAAAAATTGACTAGAATACGAAATTATAACGATAGAAAATGAAAAGTAATTGTTTCATTTGAGCAACATAATATACACTGTTTTACCTTCTCCTGTTATTTATGGTTCGGATTAGGAGTGCATCGATTTGTTTTTCCATATTTTTCAAAAAATTCATAATAAATAGTTTGTATTTTCGTAAAAACGAGTTGCAACATGTTTTTAAAATGACAGTTTTGTAGAGGAAACATTTCTCTACAAGATAGTATACAGAAAGTATTTTAGAAGTTTTTTTGTTTCCTTTTAGAAAACGTTTTTCTCAAACCGTCGGTTATACCCGCTGTTTTTAACCGAAACACCTCTCTATCAAAAACGCTTTTTAAAAAAACGAAAAACTTTTAAAATTAACTACTATATACCATTTTGTAGAGAAATGTTTTCTCTACAAAACTGTCATTTTTAAAAACATGTTGCAACTCATTTTTACGAAAATACAAACTATTTATTATAAATTTTTGAAAAATACGAAAAAATGATCGATACACTCCTAGTTCAGATAGAACTGAGTAACTCTAAATTCTTATGAGATTTAATCGAATCGATTATCTTTAATCTCTTACCGTTCTTTATTACCAAGTTTTATCTATAGTAAATCTTTATTCTATTCTATGATTTGATCATACACTTCATTCTTCTTAGATTATTAGATTCATAGATAATATTTTTTTTTATTGTTTAATTTTAGCACGAATTATTCAAAACGCGAAAAAGTTCGATGAATAACGATTCTCAACCATCATTAGATCAAGAACAATCTCAACGACGAAATAGTAAATCCATTAAAGGATTATGGACACATGCATTTAATTCAATAAAAAATGCTCATAAAGATGGTTCAGACAAAGAAGATACAAAATCGGTATGTTTTTAACCACTTTTTTTTTTTTCGATACTATTAGATAGACTTTTGTGTTTTGGGACATTAACAAATTTTTGTTGCATGTATGTCGATAATTTCTCTTGTGAACAGAAAAAAAAAATTTTTTTTCAACATCATATTCATTTTTTTGTTCTATTATCGAATATTAAATGCTCTAGGCCTATTCTTTCGATTGATAATTAACTTGAATTTGTAGAACAAAATATAATTTTATTTTTGACGTTGCGATAATATAATAACAATCGTAAAATCAAAGAAAAGACTATAGAATTTAGTTTTTCTTTTATTTTTATAATTCATTATTATAAAATAGTATCGATCGTATTGTTCAAAAAGAGAAAAAACTATTATAACAAACGTGGTACGTGAAGGAAATATGAATGAATATTTCTATTTAATTTACAATAATACACTTTTTTTTTTTATTCATTAATCTATCAACATCCGGATCATTAATATAGTGATAGTAGTGAATATACTTCATCTTTTATTTTCAATTGTCTTTGTACTTTCTCTTTATCACACCTCTAAAGATATAATAGTGTATAATTGTTTATTTTTCTAAAATTTATATTAAAGTTTAGTACATCTCCATTATTTGTTTATTAAATTTTGTAATAGTAGATGAATTCATAAGATTTATTATCTCATTCTTTATATAACATGATTTAGGGTATAAAGTCAACATGTTAGACTATTTCTCTTTAATAGTTCACATTCGTGTATAATTATTATGAAAAAAAGAAATATATAATAATAATCATCCGTTTGTTTCTTAAAAAACAAAAAGAGTTCAATGAAACGCCTGTTTAATTACGTTTGTTTTTTCGATTTTTTTTTTCAAATGAACTATCATTTTTTCGAAAAGAAAAGCTCTTTATTCAGGAAATTACTGTGCATAAAATTTAACATATTTCTACTTCAAAATACTCTTCATCCCATTCCTTTAGGCAAAATTTTATTGTTCATCATTTATGATCTTATAAATAGAAGAATTCGTTTGTACAACGTTTTTTTTTCTCCTTCAAATGTACACATCTATTGAGGATAGTTTTTAGCCGATTTTTATGATACATCGATCATTGCCGCCGCATAAAAATCTAAGAAAAAGAACAAATTGCCCTTTGATATTGATATATTTTTGTTAGAAAGTTCATGATGAACAATTTTTCCAGTCACATTTATAGTGTTATGAAACGATTTTCTGTCATGTCAAAGTCTAATACTTCAATTGTTGAAAAACGTGTGTGTCAAAATATTATATATATGTTTCTCTATATATTTATATCTATAGATTATAGATATATAGATACTGTCTATGATTATACATCCCCCATTATGACATAATTTATGCGTGTACAATAATATTGATTGGTCATTAATATTCGTAATATGACAAATCAAACATGATAAAAGATCATACACGTTAGATAAAGAAAACCAAGGTTGATTGAACAAATAATTAACATATGTCGAATAATAATAGCTTGAGGGAATTAATGTCGATAAGAATAAACTGTCTTATGAACTGTATTTTGAATGATTTTTCAAACAAAAAAAAAAAAAAAAATTATTCAAGATAAAAATAATTACACAAAGCTCAATTGATCACCCAATTTAAATTTATTATGTATACATTTTATTTTATGTTTCTTCATTTGTTTTGGTCATATATATAAAAAAGAAATAGTTCTGCGTGATCAGAATAAAAATTTCATTGTCCTTAGATGTTAATCTTTTTTTCTTTGTCTTTGATCTATAAAAGATCATCCTTCCTGTTCATTTTTTTTCAGTTTCCTGTTAAAAAATTATGCCATATTTTTTCTTCTCTTATTTTTACGTCTGTCTTTAGTTGTTCATACATACGCATTGTTTTCTATTTTTCTTATATTGATCGGCAAACCCTATTTTTCTTTTATTTTTTCCCGAAAAAGAAAAAAAATAGTAGCACAATTATTTTTTTAAATCTTTAAATTGTGATTATAATTGAACAATGTATCATTAATGAATCTTGAATCGTCATCACCTTCCGTTACACGTAGTCGTGAACGTTTACATGTACCTCGAATACGTTCACATAGTCTAGCACCCAAACATTCAAAATATGATTATAATCGTCGACGTTCAGAGGTAGAACAATCAACGGTAATAGTTCAAAAAAAGTTATTAGATGGTAATAAACCATCACCACAACAACAACAACAACAACAGCAACAAAAAAATGTACCAACATGGTTTCGCCGACGTTTTACATTATTTTCAGTTGATTCAAATCATCTTCAAAATAGTGGTAGTAGATTATCAAATTATAGTAAACAAAATAGTTTTTCATTTGATAATGATCAAATATTAGAAAAGTATAATCAACAACGACGACCAAGTAAAATAATGAGTCTTGTAGAGGTATAGTACGTTATTGAATATGATTTATTCTGTATGTATTATTTTTAAAATATTTTTACCTACAGTATATATTTAACGTTTAAAAAGTTGTATATGTAGTCAAATTCAAAAACGGAAATTTTTTTTAAAAAGTAACGTCAATTTATTTTACAATAAATTGCCCATAAGACACATATAAAATGAATGAATATAACTAGAATACATTAAAAATATGAAAACTAGTAGTAAATAGATATTAATAATTAATAATATAATGTCAGTATATAAACGTATAGTATTTAATAAGATCTTTCTTATTGTACATGATAGTAATATATCTGACACTTAAAGATACTTAGCGTATAAATGAATCATGTTTTTTTTTTGTCTAATCGTATCATTAATATCACATAATCAATGTCAAGTTGTATTCTATGATTAACAATGTTTCCAATAATCATACATTGAAAAATTTGTTACTATATTCTTTTTTCCAACTTTTTCTTCTTGTCCCTAATGTAGTTATCAATTGTATATCTTCTTGTTTACTCTTTATTTTAAATATTTTTACTTTGATGACTTATTACATCATATTATTTCTAATGAACTATCATCATAAGTTATATTAAAACTATGGAATCACTATCAATAAAAATTACAATATGATGAAGAATTTGTATTCATTGTCATCTAGAATTGTCAATAATTGTTCATAAAAATGTATTCTATTCTTTATTTTCACTTTTAGTCTTTTGTTCGAAAATTTTCATTGAGAAAGAAGAAGTCAGATCCAGATGAAGGTAATCAAATTATTGGTTATCAGTTAGCTTAATTTATCATTTATATTTTTCCAGATGCAGAGTATGTCGATCCGGTTTATGAAACTTTAAAATTAGCTGCTGAAACACGAAAAATGACATTATCAAATTATTTACAACAACGACAACAAACATTAAATAAACAAACATCATTAAATTCTCAAGGTTCATCTGAACATCCATCACCAAAAAATTCACGAAATTCTAGTCGAACAGAAATGGATATTGTATCTACAACGACAAAAAATGTCACAACATCATCATCAGGTATGAACGACGATATTCTACCAGGATTACTATCATCTTCTTCCTATAAAAATACAAATGCTAACAGAATTTTACCTCAAAGAGAAAATGTTGCCATAAGACATCATTTAACAAGACAATTATCATTACAAACACCCCATAATAGAAGAGGAGACAGGGATACACAAACTTTATCTGAAACACCATCTCCTACGCCAAGCCTTGTTAAGATAGATAAAATAATTAGTAATATAAAACAAGAATTTTGATGATGCACGCACGACGCATGATTTTGTTATGTGGTTAAAGTACAAAATGAATTTTTGTACTCTCTCCGCATCCTCTCTCTGTCTTTTTCAATCAACCGTCCAATGATAGTTTGCTAAATGCTTGCTCGTCTTATTGTTACATCATCGATGTTCACTGCACGCTTCAGTGGTAAAAAATATATTTAAATGCCAAACAACATTCCAAACTTTTTGAAGGCACAATTATTCTTTAGGAAAAAAATGATGTATCTTACACTGTACCCTTGAAGAAAAATCACAAATAGTCATATAAAGCTATATCTTTTGTGCAGCAAATATATCATTTATGATCAACTGAAACAAAAAAGTAAAATCGTATGCTAAATTTGTATGTTTTGCTTATACAATTGCAGATCACGAATCTCAGCAGATGGACCATCACACTACTATTACTGCTTCTTCTACCACCTGCTGATAATTATCGTCTCTATTTGTATGCTTTCTTATTGCTTTAAACGATTTAATTATTGTTCAACATTCTCTTCATGTGTATCATTATGCTTTTATAATATGCATACAAAATATACCAAATACTTGTCGGCACGTTTCCTAGCTTTTATTTTCTTGCAAGCGCGTATATCGTATTTGTATCTTTTATTTCTAAGACAACATATACTACTTTAGCTAATATTTTGTTGTTTAGCGTTCCGATTTATACTACTGTATACTTTATTTTGTCGAGGTTGCAATCTAGTTGCAAAATTTTTCAACTAAAGAATTTTAAAAGATATGGCTATGTGGACTATTCACGCATATTTGGCTATACTTGATTTTCCTTTGGACTAATTGGTTCGTTATAAAACTGTAATTTTATTGCTTCTGTCACACTATGACTTGGTGACTAAAAGCTTCTTTTTAAGTTTTAATAAAAACCGATGAATTATTTAAATTTAGAAATAACACTGCTATATTTCAAAAAGCAACCGATATTCTGACTGTTTGACTATGCTAGTGTGTAGAGAGCATATAAGAAGTACAGTTGTTAGCAGCAGATTAGATCTTGTTTTTACTACCACTCTTTTTCAAAGTTTACCACATCGTATTCTCAATCAGTCTCCGTTCATAAGTTATTATAGTTTCTGTATCGACGATGTTCTCTGTTAAATTTGTCATTGCAAATCAAAATATCGGTGGATAAATTTTCTTTTTACTAGCATTCTGTGTTTTAAAAAATCCCTTCTCTGACACTATATTAGATTTTGCGTTTCAGCTCGACGACATCTAAGACTTTCATACATATCATGTGACAAAAAGTAAAATCAAAATACAGCTTAAGTCTCAATCCGCTCTTTGTAGACAAGCTTTTTTACTGAGTATGAGTTCAAATGTATCTAAGGCGATAAAATTAGAGTTTTATAAGTAACTCACTAGTTCGAAGTAGAATCAAGGGTTGCCAAATGTATGTTTATGCCAAATCCGCAACTGTATATTTAAAAGTTCTTCAATTGACAACATTTTTATTACGCGTGTCCTTTATATTTATGTTGATCTATTGTTGTTTAAGAAGAACTATGAACGATTTTTTTTGTCAATGTAGTTTCTTTTTCACTGTTGTACAGCTATTGTTGTACTTTTTTCTGAACACATTTGCGTTTCTTTGGCACAATCTCATGTTAATAAAGCGTGCAAGTAAAACAAAATGCAAGATGAATAAATTGATGGTTATGTTACGAAACGATCTCAAATATCGAATTCAAGGCAAAAATGGACAAAACATCAGTTGCGTGGAAACGCACACTGTAAGAATTTTAGTATTCTTCATTGAGTGTGCTGCTTTATATGAGGATAAAGAACATCACGTCGCTTATACTTGAACTCGTTGTTCCTGCCATGCTAAGCGATAATAACATATTTGTGGCATTGGTCTTCTGCTTGTCATACATCTATTTGCTGATCTTCTTCAAAAACTATAGTGTTTGTATCGCTGTTGTGTTTCCTCATACAAACAGTTCTCACTGTGTCAAGGTAGCTATCTGATCATCGCTGAATTTGACGACTAATAGGCCATGTCAGAAGTCTGTAAACTGTAGAGAAGATATCGACCTATTGAAATTTGCACTTGGCACGAATTTACACCGTCTACGGTAGCTTCAAGATGGGTATTGTTCTCCTTCCTTACCTTTCACAAAAAGAGCTAAGTATTTCGAGAAATTTTTAGCAAAAATCAACTATTGTTGTCTGCGTCCAATCAAAATAATCTTGTTTGCACTTTCGATTATGATCTACATTAAATGCTACCAGAAAATCCATCGACAACTCAGAAAATCACAACGACGAAATACTTCTAATTACTTTTCCTTTCCTTTTCAGAAAAGACGATTCTCATAAAAAATACCTTTCATTTAGGAAAATCATATGTGTAATAGTCCTAGATCTACTCTTTCAATTGTACTAATTCTCTTCTTCAAAAATGCATTTTCCGATGTTTTCAACAAGTTTTCTAAAATCTCTGTGAGAAAAAAGACCGGCAAAGCAGTCATGCTTTTAGCCAAACATGTTTTCGGAGCATATCGAACAAATTCCTTTAATCCCAGTTTATTCCAAAAATATGTGTTTTCATAAGGAAAGGATTTTTTCGATCAACGAGCATCACCATAGAAACGACTTTCTTATAACAAAACGTTTAAATGGATTATTTTTTAAATTAAAGGTAACATATATGAGAATAGCGTACGAGAGCTCGTCTTTCTACTTAGACTTTCAGTTTTTTACAATATATATAGAAAAGTTTTTCTACCTGTTCAAGTTTTTTGAGATAAACATTTCAAATTGAACAATCGGTGCTTTTGCGTTGTTAGTTTACGTCTTTGGAACAATTTAAAACTGAGTCGAACTCTGCAACTATTAAATGAAAGAAATATTTGCTGTGTTAAATGCTTCACTCTGACTATACGTTTAAGCAATGAAAAATGATAAGACCTTGAAAGTGAACTCATTGCATTTAATTAAAGCGTATTAATAAGTTATCTTCTTCAAAAGTGTGCTACTGTTTCTATACTCTACTAATTTTAACACATAGATACGCATTGAATTCATAATTATAAGTGTGAAAATATGTTAAACTTATTTTAACGCATTAATACGGTTTAATTTGAAGGGTAGTTGATTCACTCAATGAAAGCAATCTACGGTGTTCTGTGGCAAAGAGATGGCTGGGCTACTTTTTTTCAACATAATATTGAACTTGTACCAATTATACTTTCGATTTTATTGAAACAAACTTGCAACAGAATATACAATCGTCACAGAAAGAAAAAATAACAAAAATATCAAAATAATCAATACACGTAGACGTATTCTTCGTCGAAAATATCTTGGCTATAGAATTGCTCCACATGTCAAATGTAGGGTCTTTTTCGGTTTGATAAACGCGTTCATTCATTTTGTAGAGATCAATGATTTGTCCATAAAGTTTTGTTTTACTATATTATTTAAAGACAATAACAAAGCCATTGGTATGATGATCCTTTGAAAACGATTTGTTGTTAGGAAACAAAGATTATTGATTATTATTATAGTAGACAACGTTCGACATGTTGTTGTTTACAACTGAACGACGATAATATATGTTAGCCAACAGTTTGCTCAATATTAACTTTTACTTTCAACAAAATTCGATTGTTGAATATTTCGGATGATGTTGATTGTCTATTCCTTTAATCTCTTTTCAAAAATAATGTTTCATTCAAAATTTTTTCAAAGATTGATCGCATGTACGATTGGCTGTTTGAATACGCATGAGATATTACGTAGTCAGCAAAATTTTAAACTTCACAAAAATGAACATCATAGACTCAACTACACATGCTAGATGCACATGTTAATTTACATTTATATTTCTGGTTTCTGAACATGGGAAAAAGTCTTATACATACTAATGCATTAAAAACAAGTTCGACAGAAAAAATGTTATCATTCTTTAGAGAATAATTTAAAAACGTGTTATGATTATCTGCTTTAACGAATTCATTGATGGTTGTTGATCAATAATCAACTAATAAATTATCGCAGAAATTTCTAATGTTTTTATGATTTATTTTAGCGAATCCCCACTCCCTGAAAATATCGCATATACTAGTTCTAGCGTCCTCGCCAGGTACTTTCATGTGCAGTTCTGATCTTTTTAACAGAGGAAAACAATTTTTAGAATATGTTTAATATAAATTAGTTAGTGGTTATAAGTATATACAAGATGCAGATTATATATACAGATAATTTTAACATTTTTCTTAGCACTAAAAGAATGAAGCGTCACATTGCCTCCCACAGGATCATTTCCCATTTATTACAATTAAATAGCTCAATTTTTTGAATAATTATAGTGAATTTAATGCGTTTCACTTTTTTGACGTTTCACAGAGTCAGTTTCAACGCGAGTAAATATGTTACTTAGTTATCTAATACTATAGACGATCAAAATTATATATGAATTTTATAGAATTTTTCAAGAAATTTGTGTGGGAGAGAGACCTAACAACTTTCATTCATACTTTGCCTTTATTAAAAGAAATATTTAGAAGTTTCTTTTTTACCTTTTTCTAGGAACTGTGACGCCCAAAGCGCGACGTCGAGTCAAATTTGATCTTCGAATGAAAAGTTTTTCTATTGATAATCCTGAATACAATCCCGAGAAAGGTATATCTGCTAGTCGACTTTCTACTGTAAGATTCTATTTAAGAACATAATTTTACTCAACATTTAGAAGAACATGAAGAGCAAGGTGCTGTTGTAAGTCAGTCATTGGACGATATAATCCTACTTAATCGAATAAAACCAAAAGTTGATCTAAGACAACAACTACTGTCAAAAACGAAGAAAAGATCTAACACACTAGCAACAGAAAAATTTGAACGAAAACAAGGAAAAGTGTTGGTTAGTATAGATAATCTATTGATGACAGCATTTTTTAATCTAATATTTCGTGAAACGTATTACTTTAGACAGACGATGAGACGTATGTTGTATTGTACGGTTATATTGCCTCAGATCCTGATGATATCGATCTAACGTATGTACAAACATTTTAGAACTATGTGTTAAACTATTTTTGTTTGTTATCTATGATTATTTCAGATTAGGTTCAACGGTAAAAGTAGTTGATTCATCAGATCCCGACTGGTGGAAGGGTACTGTAGATGATGGAATAAAGATTGGATATTTTCCTTCAAATTGTGTTGCAAAAATTATGCCAGGATATAAACTTGTTCGTGTTTGTCAAAGTATACATACTTATCTACACAAAGATTCATCTGTGAGATTGAACAAAGGACAGGTGCACTACAAATGCTCTATTTCAAGAAGTCATTTTTGTACTATTTTTGTCTTCATCTAGATTGTTATCAAAACCGGTGAGGAATATCCTAATATGGCTATTATCAATACGGGAAAGCAAGTAACAAGGTAAGACAGTTCTTTCAAATTAGAGTTAGTCATTCTACACAATAATCGTACTAATATATGCAATTTTATCGTAGTGTGCCAACGAAATATTTGGAATCATATCCTTAGCAATATCTTTTACAGATAATCCTACCAGTAGGATACTAGAAACAATTTGACTAATATTTGTTGATTCTACCTATATATTTTTGTGAACTTTTTAATTTGCTACGTTTCTCATAATGCTCTCTGTTCTTTTTGCTTCTTTGTAAGCTCAACAACATTTGTTTTCTTACGCTGCACAACTTGTGATTATCAGATGTATTCGAAATTATACGTTCAATTTCGATTCAAATAAATTCAATGTTTCTTTCAAAAAGATTAAAACTTTCCTAAATATTATAGGTGTGCACGTTTTTCTTATAAAACATGAAACGCTTCCCTAGTGAAAGTATTCATACAATGAGTACGACTTTACTCATAATTCGTCCATGAGTACTCATATTGGTACTACTAACAATTTCTGAGTATTGTTACTCAGTGAGTACTCA